AAAACTCTATTGACGATAACAAGAAACAACACGGTAACCATGGTAGAACTCCTTGTACAGTGGTTTTATATGTCTTTTTTGTTTCATGTGTTTATAAGAATATGTTTTGTTTTGCTTTGCTTTGTTTTGTTTCCCCCTCTAATATAGAAAGGATAGAAATACATGTAGACACTCATGCATGTATAGTACCTATAAACGGTTTACGAGAACTGATCTTATAACATGATGAAATGAACAAATACTTTGAAGAAAAAGAGACACTACAGTACCGAGTGCTGATCCCAGAGTGTCATGATGTGAAACCCAGCGATAGTATTATTCTTTGTTCAGAGTGGTATTAACCTGCTTGGGTTTGTTTAATCTCAACATAAATGAAGATATGGATAACTTCATGTATGCATAAGTGTATAAGATTGACAACCATATTACTAAGTTTTTGTTGAATAGTTGAACAGAACTGTTTGCAGTCTCGCTGTTTGAATCCCCACTTTGTATGTTCCACTTTTGTATCTTGAACAATATTTGTATGAGGACAATGTGTAAACATCAACTAGTGGTTTCTTAGTTTATTTTTTCTTTGAAAGTGTGTATTATTTCTACCCGTTTTGTTTAGTCTTTCTTTAAATAAAATTTTAAAAAATGGCAAATGTAAAATGCCAAATATGGATATGTAATAGGCAGTAGTAGCTGATGTTCCAGCAGGTGGCAGCTATTGTCTCTGCTCTCAGATGGAGGCGGGGAGGGGTTTGAACAGCTGATGGACCCTAAACCGATAGCTCCAGCAGTGAGAAGATATATGAACAGTAGGGTGGAGGGATGATAGTGAGCAGGCCCTAAGCAGGTATCCTTAGCTGCAAGGAACAAAGCCACTTTCTATGGGTTCATGTAGGTGTATTTCACCAATATTACACAAATACTGGCAATGAAGTGATAGATCTAAAGCAAGGAAATTCAAGATTTTGGGAGGAAGCATCCTTAGTAGTTGAGCCATTTTCCCAAAGAAAAGGTGTTTAAGACAAGCACCAAAATATGTGTGTACATGACAGAAGTTGGAGAAAATACCAGCCAGAAAGTGTGGCATGCCATGACGCGATTTGAATCCCAGACCAAGGACTTCCTTGATTCAGTGAGGAAAGAAGACACATTGCATTTCCCAGTGGCTGCAAGACCGGAACTAGAGTTTGAAGGGTGCCTGGGTCAGAAATATTGCTCACTGGCTAGCTGGCTCTGCCCTGAGGTTTTATCCAGTGTGTTTGGAAGCAGTTTGGAGAGAGAGATGTGTGTGCTACGGTGTTAACATCAACCTCATCAGGCTTTTTCTAACATATTCTAGAAAACTAGTGCCAAGGTGACTGGGTCTCTATTGTGAATCTCACTATATGTATTAAAGAATAGCTAGAGGGCTGGGGATTTAGCTAAGCAGCATAAGCGCCTGCCTTGCAAGCACATAGTTGCGAGTTCCACCCCTGGTACTGATAAAAGAAAAAAAAAGATGAGCTAGAAGTAAAATGTGCTTGTACTTGACTCTAGTGGACACCTACACAGGTGAGAAAATCACCCCGAACTAAAGGGAAGCACAAATGAAAGAATCTGGATAAGATTGGTGGCAGTTGTGTCAATGTCAATATCCTGATTGTTTCATAGTTTTGGAAGTCATGGGGTGGGGAAGAAATGGTCCAAGTGAAGGAAGGATTTCTCTGCATTACTTTTTCTTTTTTGCAGTACTGGGGATTGAATTCAGGGGCGCTGTACGACTGAGCTCCCCCACACTCTGCCCCACTTTATTTTGAGACAAGGTCTCACAAGTTACCCAGGCTGGCGTTGAATTTGTGATCCTCCCACCTCAGCCTCCGGCCTGCAGAGATAACAGGCTTCCTCCACCATGCCAGGTTCTCTGTGTTATTTTTAAAACTCTAATTACCTCGACGTAAATTTAAATTAAAATGCATTGGTAAAAGTAATAGAAAATTTTCATAGAAAATAAGCCGCAGGAGGTCACACTCGCTCTCCTCACTTAAGGTTTCCTCGGGCACAAAACAGGCACTATTATTTTTCCTGAGGCCTCAGCTGGAAAACACAGCCAAATGTTAGAAAGAACGAGGTCTGCCGCGCTGGAATTGCTTTGCTAACGGGACCCAAAACTTTATAGACACACTCTGTCCACAGCGGGTCAACTTTGTCCCCGTTTTAATTTACCAAACCTGTGTCACTAGCTCCAAAGTCAGGGTTCAAATTATCCTTTTATTATTAAAATGAACTTTTCCCAAAAAGGCAAGGACGACGTGTAGTATCCGGGCGCAGCATTTCCCCCGCAGCCGGTACTTGTGAGAAGTGCACCCCGCGGGGCTGAGTGCACTGGATTTCCAGAGCGATCCTCCCTGCAGGACTACCGCGGCGAGCTCCGGGATGCATTCCCTTCGCGCCTGCGCTGGGCTCCTCTTCCCAGCGGCGGGGCAGCCTCAGAAGGCCGTGAACTTTCAGGGAGTCAGAGGCGCGGGACCCACGGCGGCAGGCTGGGAGGGAAGGCGGCCCTTGTGTCCGGAGCCCGGACTCTGCAGAAACTTCTCCCGCAAGTCCTGAGCTCTGAGCGCGGCCGCCCGACTCTCTGCGCCCGGGAAGAGGGAAACTGAGGCACAGCCAGCGCGCGCGCACAAGTGCAGGCTCCCCGCGGCGGGGACCCCGGCAGCGAAACCCGCGCGCCCCGCCCCGCCCCCGGACAAAGCCAGGAGCCCGCGCCCGGACGCGGTGGGCGGTGCCCGCCCGCGCCAGACTCCGCCCGCCGCCCCTCGGGGGAGCCCGGCCCCGCCCCGCGCCCATGACGTCACCGGCGGCGGCAGGCCCCGCCCCGGCCCCGGGCGGCAGGCCGCATGACGTCACCGAGGCCCCACCCCTCCGGAGCGAGTTCGGTCCTGGCGTTCATTTCATTCCTGTCCTCATTCCGCACATTCTTAGCATCGCTCGCGCCGCGCCGCGCCGCCCGAGCCGAGCCGAGCCTCTGCAGCCGCCGCCGCGGCCCCGCCGCCCGCCGCGGCGCCCCCCGAGCACTTTGCAGACTCGCCAGCAGCCCGCGGGCCAGTTCGCGCGGCGGGGCCCGGGCCGGGGCGGCCGCGTCCGGGGCCAGGCCATGCAGTGACCCCCCACCCCAGCCCGTCCACCTCGGCCCGGAGCGCGCCCACCGGCCCCGGGCAGCAAGCAGCGGCGCGAGGCCGGGTGGGGTGGCCCGGCCCTGGGACAGCAGCCGGGAGGGCGCCGGGCGCGAGCGCAGGGCGGGGGAGCGGCGCCGAAGTTTGCCTCGGAGTCTCGGGCGCCGCGGCCTCCCGCGCTGAGGTAAGTTGTGGGCGCGCGGGGCGCAGGGCGGCGGGACTGACCTCCTCGGCGGGCTGCGCTTTGTGTGGGCGCGCGGGCTCCGCGGGGCTCCGCGCCGTCCGCCCGCGTCTCCTCCTCCTCCCCGCGCGAGTTGCGGGGCCGCCAAGTTGGGCCGCGCGCCGGGAGCCCGCGCGGCAACAGGCGGCCCGGAGGCGCCGGCCCCGCCGCCCGCACGCGCGCACACGCACCCGCCGGCGCCTCCGCTCCGCCCGGCGCGCGGGAGCCAGAAGTTGGGCGCGGGCGGGGGAGCCGGAGCCGCCGCCTCGGAGCCCGGAGCCCGGAGCCCGGCCCCCGAGCCCGGCCCTGGGGTCCGCGCGGGCGGCGCTGAGGGAGACGAGCGCGCTTCTTCCCCTCCAAGATGAAAGGAGGGCACGACCGGCTCTGCCGCTCCTCCAGGACTGTTGCTGCCGTTGCCGCCGCCGCCGCCGCTTCATTGCACATTCAAGTGGAAAATTTTCAGGAGTCAGCAGAAACATTGTGTCCAAAAAAGACTGAGTCGCAGTTACCACCAAACCCAGGAGGAGACTGTCCCTGGAAAACTTCTCTTCCGTAGGAAATACTGGAGGATTTGTTTGTTTATTGGAAGAGAAATGATCCCCAGGACGGGAAGAAAACCAGGGAACACACTTTCAGTCTTTGTTCATAGCAGCAACACTTGTTTTCTTTGAAAAGTCCAGAGGCCCACTCGAAAGAAAGTTAAACTTCTGTGAGTTTCCAACCCCCCCCCCCGCCCCAGTATTTGTATGTTTAAAAAATCACAGCAACGTTTTTAAGGAGGGGCTCCTACCTTAGATTGCGTCCACGAAAATAAAATCCACATCAGAGTTTGCCACTTTTTAAAAATCGTCTTTCTTTTTGAAGATTAAAGTTGAGTGGTGTCACTGTTTAAAAATATTTTTGAAACAATGAAATGTCAGCCACCAGCATTTCTCAGGAGGCTTGTTAACTTCTTAGAAGCAAGTGGCTGCCTGTGATTTGCAGAAAGGAAAACTGACCTCAGTGAGCACTGGAAACTTAGAGACAGATGATGTTCCAGGAACTGGGTATGAAAAAAAGACAGGGTTTAAAAACAGTACCTTGGAGGGAACCCAGATCCTGGGACAGAAAGGTCTGTAAAGCTTATCAGATTTCAAAATAGTGAGAAAATAGTAAAAATGCTACAGATGCAGCGAAGGAACACTCACAGCTCACGACAGCCACATGTTTCCTTCGCCCCGCCACCACCCGGGTTGTTTTGGAAGCTTAGGTGGTCTGATCATTTGGGGTGAGCTGGGTGGCTGCTGGGATGGACAGATTTCTCTCCCTTGCGGGAGACGGGAGACGGGAGCCTTCTCTTCGCTGCCAGAGCCGGGAGGGAGCTGCTTTCTCTGCAGCCTGCAGTGGCTTGCAGTCTCGCGCCGGGGCTTCTCTGCTAGGACACTGAGAGGCAGTAGTTGGGGGCGCAGCCTTCAGGCTATGCCCGTGGTTTTTCAGCTTTCATTGTTGGGTTTGTGCTTTTCTGTAAATAGCAGGATCTTCGGGGCCCAGCACATCTGAATGCTTATAAGGGCCAGACAAAGATCCAACTTTGGTAAGAATCTTTCCTCTTTAGAAGGCAATAGTAGAACTAATTACAAAATGATTCCAGAAAGAAAAATGGTTTTAGTTGAACCTTTGTCATCGGTGAGATTTTGAATTGTTGATTATTTTGAGGGCAAAGAAGGCTTATTTTTCTAGTCTCCCTATTTCCATAAATGGTCATAGGTATTTTTGTTTAGTATTTCTTTGTATGTGTAACTCTGTTGAACTCTTAGGTTTCAGGTTTTCAACAGAGTTTACAATTCTTTTTATTTGTTGCCAGTGTGAAAAAAATGAACTGATAAGCTATATCCGTTACTGGGCCTTGCTGATGTGCCAACGTACACTATTTTATTTTTACTTTAATGGTAAATATTTGAGCTGCAATTTTAGGGGAGTGTTAGAATCCTTTTTTTTTTTTTTTAAACTAGTTTGAAACAAAACTGGTGTTTCCAGGCACTTTGCCTTGAAAAAAAGAGTTTAAAAATTAGAAGGAAGAATCTTTGTGTAAATTCCTCCTCTGTGTGATCTTTTATAAAATAAACTCCAGAGAATGTGTTTGAGAGATTACTAAGTTTTTTCCTCTCTCTTTAAAAATAATTTTCACAAAACAGAAACAAAACCCAGAACTCACCGGAACATATAATGACATTTCATTTAAAGAGAGAAGACACTCTAGCTTAGTTTGAGTGAATCTCACAGTGAGCAGCTCTTGTGCTGGGCTACAGAGCGCCTCCCACCCCAGCACCCTAATTACACAAGAGGGTGACCTGGAGGAGGGCCGCCTGGGGGAGTCAGCTTCCTTTTCCCCTCCATTTTCCTTCTTCCTCCATTTGCTGCTTGCAGCAGGAATTATATATTCTTGTATTTAGTTTGGAAGCTGGTGTCCCCTTTCATTTGGGAGGACAATTAAACCATAAGGAAGAAAAAATTCAAGATACTTTTTCCTGCTTGAGCTCCAGTAGTTTATAAACAGTTTTGAGATTTGTTGGTTCTGACAGCACAGAGCAGCAGAAGAAGGCATTTCTTAATGGCAAAATTGGGGAGGACTGGCTGTACATCACGAGGATCTAACCATATCTGTTGTCATGTTCAGTAGGGAAGTGTGTAATAGGAGCAGTTTAAATGTTAGCCAGACCTTTGAAGAAATGAGCTGTGCCATTAACAGCATTAGCAGGTAGCTCGCTTCAGAAATGGGGCCCTGCAAGAGCCTGCACATCTGTGGATTACATTTCTCTAATCTCATGTGTTATTACTATGTGTTAATTGTGAGCATAATTATATTGCTTGCAAGTGGAAATTGTGATGCTGAATTATCACTGGAGAGGTTGTTGCAAATAACTGCGTATGCTGTCTTGGACTTAAAAATGACCATATTCAGGCATTGATGATTAAGTCCACTCGAGATCACTTTTATTTTAGGTACTTGGTTCTGTTCCTCTAAAGAGATTGTGAAAGAAATGTGCGTGTATCTGTGTTTATAGTTTTTTTGTTCTTCCAAGTGAAAGCTGTGTGAAATCTGGTCAATGATAAAACTTTTAGGGTCTGTCTGTTTTCTCCAAAGGCTTAAAGAGTTCTGACCAAAGCAAGTTGTCCAGCTTTCTGTGTTAAACTGCAAGAAAATCAGCCATCCTTTCTGTTAATCAGTGTGGGCACTGCAGCCTTTGGAGTGCAGTGACTGGAACTGCAGACTGCTAATGTCCTACTTCTGAACTGAGCAAGAAAAATATATTGTAAGCTTAACCCCTTTGACAAACGTAGGCTCCGCTGCTTGGGATTGACCAGTGGCTGGCATAGTCTTTCATAGCTACAAGGTGCTTTTCCTTATTTTGTCTACAGAAGGTACAGATCACTTTGTGGTATTTAAATCAGATCCTAAATCAAGTTTGAAACAGCAGTGATATATTTTGTTCTTTCATATTCATCAAGGTGATAAAATCAAGCAGTATAAGTCTAACCCAGCACTTAATGTTTTGGGTTTTTTAAAAATTTACAGACAGACACCTAATTTAGACCCTGTTGTATTGTAATTACTGTGCATATCTGAAACTAGAAATGTTCTGGGCTTTTTTTCTTCTGGGGTAGTTGATGTATTGCTAGAGTATTTGGATCTAAATTTTTGGAGTGTTTTGTGTGGGTTTTTTGTTTTATTTCAGAGCTGTGAACTGTTGAGCTCTCAATCTATAAGATCTTCATAAACTTCTTTGGCTCAGTTCCATATTTGAACTTGGGGTTGAAATGTGACTTTCATGAGAAACTTTCAAGCTTTGTAGTTTTTGGTGTAGAAGAAGAGAATTTTGAAATATGTTGTGTTTTTATTTTAGTTGAAGCGAATGAGATGCCCTTATGGTGGGGATGTGAGGGCAGGTAACTCTCAACTTTTAGGTTCTCCTTTTGTCCACTGGCTTTTTGCACAGTTGGGAGGTCTTTCAAAACCTGGTGTCCGAAGTTTGGGAGTCCTGGCTGTGTGAAGAGTGCTGGTCTCTCCTGATTGGATAATGGTGGGGAGGGATTAAATAATCCTCTTAAGATGCTTTTTTCAGTTTTTGTTTTTTCAGACCCAGAGAAGGCTGTGATTTCAACTCCCCTATCCATTTAAAACCAGTATTTATCATTCTGATGCAAAGCTTTTTGCTCATTTTTAATGATTCATGTTAGTTTTTAAGGAATTGGCCTAAAGTTTCTTTAGCAATTCTTTTTAGCATTTCAGGGACAGGGTCCTAGAAAACGGATTTAAGAGAAAAGCTGACTTCCTGGTGAAAAAATTTCATCATCCGTCATCTCCAGTGGGCAATTCTGGTTGCTTTCAGGCATTTGACAGGTTTCGATGTAGTTGTAAGGTGACGAGGTGGATATACAGCACAGCAGTGATGGGTACTGTTGTGTGTACTGATAAGTAAACTGAAAAACGGCCACTAATGGTGGGAAATGTTAATTATGTGAGAACATATTGAACTTATATTCTCTGGCATGAACTTTTAAAAAATGCATCAACTGCTGCTTTTTTTTTTAATAGGCACAGCTTTCTAATTATCATAATTCAGTTCAGCTCTGCTCTTGGATGGAGTTCAAGTGCAATCTCAATTTAACTTGAAAGGAGTTTTTTTTTTTTTTTTTTAACTGAGAATGTTTAAAAAAATTTGAAAAGTTCATCCAAGAATGTTGTCTGCTTAGGTGTGGGTAAGTTGGTGAAAGGAAATGAGTGCCTGTAATAGTCTGTAGGTCTGACTATTCTGAAAGAAGACAGTCTTCCTCTTTTATTGCAGCCCTATATCTTATGCATTTTTGTATAACCTGATACTACAGCTGCTGAATTCTCTTTGGAAACCAATGTCTTTAATAGGTAGTCAACTAGATAAATGGACATTTTTATTGCTATCTGCAAAGGTAGAAAACTCTTTGAGGACAGAGAGAAATTACAGGATTCTTAAGAATTCATTTGACAATGCTACTAGTCTTTTATATCAGCCAAGCCTTTAGAGGATGCTAGCCTGATTTGTTTTTTGCTTGGTGACTTGATGGCGTTTTGTGCAGAGTTGCCTTTGATAACAATCACACAATTACCCAATATTAATACCTTTGCAAAGAAAACAAAAGTTCAAGAAGCCCAAGCCCCAAATCCTCTCTGAATCAATTTTAATTGTAAGAAATAACTCAAGTGGACCCTCTGGACTTTCATCCAGTCTGACTCCTACTGTGGAAAGGCAATAACGCAAAGAGAGCGCATGGAAGCAAATGACTTCATTTGCTCTGGCACTTAAGAACCGAATTCACTTCCATGGTGGTGAAATGAAAGGAGTCAAGCGTTTTAAATAGCCACTCCCCGAGGCCCGCCCAACCGAGTGTTTTGAGAAAAGTGCATTGTCTGCCCGCTGCTCTAGCCGGGAGGCTGCCTGATTTGCCCTCCCCCCACCGGGCAGCTCCATTTCTGGAGTTGACATCTGGTTTTCTCTCTGTTCACCTGATCTGTTCCCATGCATGTGCACACGTGCAGCGTGCATTCATACATTCTGCAGGTAAGGTAGATGTTTGACATTAAATGTGTGCGTGTGTGCTGCAAGTTCCTACTGGGATGGGTAAGATAATGGCATAAAATAAAATGTAAACACAGGAGCGGCCCCACATGCCACCGCTGCTGGGTTTCTGTCCGAGGTGCTTTCTGGGTAGGCGTGCCTATTGTGCAGCAACAGGCAGCCTAAGTTGGAGCACCATATGGCGGATGTGGGCCTTAGATAAGCTGTCTGGTGATTTAGCTTATCAATAGCACTTTGATAGGCCTCCTTTGCAGATCACTCATTACTGGGGCTGGGGGGCCTGGGGGCTCACTTACTCTGAAACCATTGTTAGGGATGCTTCCTTTGGAGGAATCCCTTTCAAATCCTTTCTCCCTCTCTGCCTTTTTATCTCCGAGCCTTTGGGAGACAATGGGTGGTCAGTGTCAGAGTCCCATCCCCTGAAGGGATGTCAGCCCCATCTTGGAATCTTCCTCAGATACTATCAATGAGAGAAGACTGGAAATTGGGTCACGAATTGCATTTCACAGTCAAGAAATTTCTTTAATTCCAAAGTTTACTTTTGTTTTAAATACCAAAGAGATATGGTTTAAGTTGTTTTTATTTCAACAAAATATTTCTAGTTTAAACGTTCAGAGGACCTCCCTAATTTCCTTTTACATTGTTCATTCATTCATTCACGTGTGTGTGTGTGTGTGTGTGTGTGTGTAAATGTATGTATTGCCTGGTCTTGCATTCACTGTGTAACCCTGGCTGGTTTCAAATTCCTGGCGATCTTCCTGCCTCGATCCTCCTGCCTCGGCCTCTGGAGTGCTGGGATTACTGGCTCTGTCACCCAGTTTCTTTCGCCTTTAAATATTATCTTAATGATAAAATGCAAACATGTTGAGCATCTGGGAACTCAAAATCCGGGAAATTGGCCCCTGTGAATTGGAGGAAAAGATCGGCTTCCCAATGACCAGGAATTGTTGAAATAGGAAATGCTTCTAGAGCACCACTCAGATGTCCAGTGACACTGAATCTGATCGAATCTCCCATGAGGAACTGACAGGGAGATCTCGACTGAGCTAGAGCCAGGGCAGGGATTCTGTGTGCAGCAGGTGACTCGGGAATATGGTGATGTGCAAGGCTTGTGCTTACCCGCCAGGTGTGTCTCCATCTCATTCAGCACACGCCTGTGTCCAGGGTCTGTGCCTGGGAAGCTAAGACGAAGCTGTCTCCTGGCACGGCCTGTTTTCAGTCATCCCACTTTTTCTCTCGCTTTGACTTTGGGGTTTGTCACTCACAGCCTGCAGGTCCATTTACATGGCCAGCTCAAGATGATTCTGCTTCAAATCCAGGTTGGTTTCTTTCGCTCCTGCAGTGATGTGGGGAGCTGGGGGTCTGTGCGGTGTTTTATTCTTAAGAGGTCTATGGAACCAGTGTTGTAGATACTCATTTTAATTTTTATCCTCTGCTCAGATCAGATTAAGTTTGGCCTCCTTTTTTTGGGGGAGGGAAAGTACTGGGAGTTGAACTCAGGGCCTCATGCTTGCCAGGCAGGTGTTTTGCCATTGAGCTAAATCCTGGCCCTGGCTGCCTTTTCTTACTGTGATTTTTTTCAGTTACTTGTGTGGTACTGTAGCTAGGAACTTACAGGGAATCGTTCATGGAAGTCTGATGTTCTTGCTGGGTTTCAAAAATAAGGCTACAAGAGAGCAATAAAGTGCACCAGAATTAGCTCTGTGCCTGGCACGTACTTGTCACCCCTTGGGAGTCTAGCAGTTGTTTCCAGATGTGATTGCAGTGGTGTGTCAGGTCTGCTGGCTGGGTTTGAGGATGGCATTTTGTTCTGGCTGCTGCAGAAGTTATGCTTTTTGAGTTTAGGGATTCTTATAGGGCGCCTTGGTTGCGATCCCTGGACGCCAGGGACTGAGGAACAGAAGCGGAGATCCTGACAGCATGCCTTCCTTTGCTTTTAATTCTTTCCTTTTCTATCTCTTCCCTTCACCGTGGAAACCCAGACGCTCCTGGTTTCCATGGAGTTGCTATTTGCTACTGGACTTTTTAAACATTTACAGATGTTACTATGGGCCCAAGAATTTGGTGATCAGGAAAAAGCGATGAACGAATGGTGATCTGTAAACTCCCCTGAAGTTTATGGTTAGCAGAGAAACAGGCATGCCAACAGATCATCACAGACCAGTGGGAAAGTTTTACATTTCAACCCAGAGTCTTGCTTTGTACACCTACTGTACCACAGAGCTTATCCCCAGCCCAGGGGTGTGGCCTTTATACACTGACGGTTTTTGAAATTGGAGCCTGTGGGGCCATCTTTGGCCAGATGGTGGTCATGATCCCTCCTTTGACTGCATGTGTGCATCAAGGGTAGAATGAGTATGATGGGGAGGAGGAGAACCCCAGAATCTAGAGTGAGCAACCCAAGTAGGCTCGTGCCATTGAGGGCAACACTGTGGAAAACTAGGCAGGGGTCCCTTTGAGAAGTTGTTCAGCCACGCTCTGCTTACTTAGCCTGTATCTTCCTTTTTCTATGTGAACAAGATTGACATTTGTGGAAAGTTGCAACGGATGTACAATGCTAGAGTATTGTTAAATGATAAGGAAGTTTTCTGGTGCCATTTATTTCATAACAGGATTTCTTAGAAATAAAACTTGGCCAGGCGGCCGGGTGTTCTGGCTCATGTCTATAATCCCAGCACTCGGGAGGCTGAGGTAGGGGGATCAAGGCCAGCCTGGGCTTCATGGTGCACTCAAGGCCAGGCTGAATTACAAAGCAAGAGCCTGTCTTGAAAAAACAAAACAAAACAAAACAAAACACCACGAAATGAAATTCAGGTACATCTTTATAGTCAGGTGGTGTCTTAGGCTTGATGAAATGGTGATCTTAGAGATCATGCATTATGATAGGGGCTGCTTTGAGGCAGTGGTGGAGGGTTTCACTTTTACATGTTTTTGCTTTTAAGATCATTTGTTTTCTTTCTTTCTTTTTTGTCTTTTTGATACGGAGTCTCACTGTTCAATTCAGGCTGGTTTTCAGCTCACTTTGTAGCCCTGGGTGGTTTTGAACTCTCAGTGATCCTCCTGCCTCAGCTTCTGGAATGCTGGGATTACAGGCATGCGCCACCATGCCCAGCTTGTTTTCTTTTGTAATATCAAAATAAAGGGACAAAAGCTCAGTGAGATAAGTGTTCATGAGATGTCTGCATTGCCCACAGGTGGAGACTGAGGGACACTTCAGAAACTGATGGAGGAGTTAGGCCTGATAGGAAGAGGGGGATTTTTACTTGGTGCTGTTTTTCCAGAGGAGCTAATATGCAGTATATGAACTAACGTTAATTCCTGTTTCTTTTTTTTTTTTTTTAAATCTTGTATTCTTTTTTTAAAATAAATTAAAAATCCAGTGAAATATTCTCTTGAGTCATGAACTTGACTCTCAGATGTTAATAAAGACGGTTTATGCCAGTAACTGGACTGTGAGCAGTTGAAGGTAATGAGAGGGAGGGAGGGGCCGATTGACGTGAAGGAGGCCATGGCTCTGGATTTTGGTTGGGATGCAGGAGGCAGGATATGTACATTTGCCATCACAGATTTGGAGTTTGGAGTCGGTCACGCCTGGGCTGTCTCTGCTCGGCTCCTTGTGGTGTGGTCTTGGGTACCTCCACCCCCTGCAAACAAAACACACTGAGGATTAAACCTGGTATGACTCTTCACTCTCAGCTATATCGTCATTCCTTTTTAAAGCTTTACAAATTATTTTCATTTCTAAAATGTAATTTTTTTCCTTTCCTTTTTTTAAATTTTTGGTTGTATTGGGGATTGAGCCCAAGATCTTCACACTGAGCTACATCCTCAGCAGCAAACTCCTCCCTCATTCCTTTTTACATCTTTCGTGGTGATAGAGTCTCATAAGTTGCTAAATTGCCTAGGATGGGCTTGAACGTGTGATCCTCCTGTCTCAGCCTCCCAGAGTGCTGGCATTACAGCTGTGGGTTACCATTCCCGTCTTACTTTGTGTCTTTGAGCTTCAGTGTTATTGTAAATTTAGATGGAGCACCTATTTTATGTTGGACAAGTGCTCAATAAAATATTATCTTGTATACCAGATCTCTTAAGAATTTCCTGCTGTCTCAGGTCTGTGACTCTAGAGGAAAACCTGGAGATGAGGCAGTTCTTAGAAAAGCCTGACTTCTTTCTGGTCTCAGGCAAATGGTTTGAAATCTAGGAGAGGCTGAGGCAATCATGTAAAGCCTTTGGCCATTCATTGCTTTGAACCACACTTCCTTATGCAGCAAGTGGAGGAAATCCACTCGTAAATACAAGATATTTGAGGTTATTCCTTGCCAGATGGTAGTAACGAATCAAAGGGAAACTACTGAAAGGTAGGTGCAACTTCATCTGTTCCAAAACCACTTTTGGTCCTTCCTTGAAAGCCCCACACCTGACTTGGGGGTCAGCCCTTTCTGTGAAGATTGTGTGGAACTCACCTTTCCTAGACAGACAGTACTTGGGGACCTGGCTCTGCTAGCAAAGCTATTGAGGGAACCCTGCTGGCAGCCACTCAGGCCATGCAGCCTCAGATGGCAAATAGGTGAGCCCTTCAAGCTGGCCTCTTCTGCCCTCCGTGTACCTCTTAGTGTGTTTTTTTTTTTTTTTTTTTTTTTTGTTTGTTTTTTGAGACAAGGTCTTCCTATATAGTTCAGGCTGATTCTGAACTCACTGTGTGACCCAGTCTGGCCTTGAACTCCCAGCAGTCCTCCTGCCTCAGCCTCCTGAATGCTGGGATTACAGGAGAGGACTAGGATTGCAGGCATTTGCCAGCATGCCCTCCCCCTCTTAGTTGTTGCCTAATATGGACTGCTAAACTTCTGTGCATTCTGTTTCCTCATCTGGAAAATGGGTATGATGGTATGAACTTTGAAGAGCTGGAGCAAAGTTTAGATAAGTGCTGGCTGTATAGGTAAGAGCTGCAGGCCAGCTACTGTTGAAACCCAGACTGTTCGTAC